AAAAATAATACTAAACATGATTATCACTCCATAACTGGTTAGCAATGTCATCACGCTTCTCGGTCATCTCACGTGTTGCTGCATAGCTGACATTGAACTCAGTGAGTGGTAGTTCAACCCCAGAAGTCGAACCTTCTTCATCTTCATAATTTTCATATTCATGAAATAGTTTATCATCTTCGGCATGAATCTTGATGAAATTATGTAAGGCGCAACAAGCAATGACAATACTTGTTTGCTTCCTCAAGCTATACGACCGCATGAACTTTAGAATCAGAAACCTTGCCTTTAAAACTCTGAAGCAACGCTCAATCACACTACGCAGACTTGAATGCCGAAAGTTGAATAATTCTTTACGCCCTCTTGGTCCGCCTCTACGCCTCATCTCTTGAAAATGACGGGTAGCTCCTCGAAATAGTGCTAGAAATCCAGGGATATTTTGAAATCCAGAGTCCACAAGATAATATTTACCTAAATGAATATGTTGAAAATAAACTAATAAGATCTCACTATCACTCATATTGTATTAATAAATGAATGAAATGTTGATATCATACCTTTTGGTGGCATTGGAAAATCATTATCTGGATTTGCTATTGTCTCCATTAGTATTCTAGCATCATTCGCAGTGCCTTCGTATCATGCTATTACATAAGTAAATAGCATATGAAAAAAACAAACACACAAAACATTTTGTGTTGTTTTTGCTTTTCGTCCTCGATGGGGGATTTGCTCATCAGTTGGAACTACAGCATCAATGTGCACTCCATCTATAGCACCAACAGCATCATGTAAGACAATATACCTATATCAGGATCATCATAATATGAAACATGTGCAATATGAAATAAAGGATAAGAAGTTAACCTTAAAATACGGGTAAAATATTGAGTTATCCATGATCTGCTCTGGAACCACACCCATATCTGGTGGTTTTATTAGCCTTACTGCAATTTTGTTGACTGCTTTCAACGCTATGCCAAAGTACTTTGATATAGTGGATGTGGAATGTTGGAACCTTTCTGCGCCATCACTAGTGCTCCATGAGTGTCCAACAACTTTCATGAATATTGCAACTTGTTCTTCAACTGTCACATTCTTTGTTGATTACAACCCTCCATATCGTTTTAGTTCCTCACATACAGAAACAAATGTCCTTTTATCCATCCTTAACTGCTCATATATTCGAATTAGATGTCCACGGAGAATCTCTTGCACCTAATCATGTCATCTTTTATCTGATGTTCTACAAGGAGTTTTAGATGACGACTTCCTCCTCTCCTCCTCCATCAATGCTAGCATTATTACTACTAATTTATCGTCATCAGAGTCTGATGATGAATCTGAAAAAGTATCCATTTATCTGTGTATACAAAGTAAAGTAATGAACATCCATAGAAATAACATCACAACACATTCATTACAAATCATAATCAAATCCAACATTCATACAAATATTCATTACAAACCAACTTCAAACCAAATGATAACAATCCAAAATAGTACAGAACAAGAGAGTTTTAAACATAACAAAACAGCCAAAGCATCCATCACATCCAAAGCTGCAACAAATCACGCCTCCTCTCTTCGGACACATTCAAGAACACAATTTGATATTCTTTAGAATCATGGAGACACTTCACAGCTGATGCAAATAAAGCACCATTAACTTTCATCTCATCCAAAAGCTTGACACACTCCATAAGTTGCCCATCATCACTTGGCTTGGAGGAGACTTCACCTCCTCTCACAGATGAAGAAGCCATCTTTTGTGCCTCATGCTCAACTTTCATTTTCTCTCGCTCAACCATGGATGACAACAATGTTCCTATGGACTCAGCATAGTTAATCTTATCTCGCTTTCTTTTTTTCCCCTTGCCTTTGTTTTTGTTCTTATCCTCCTTACCAACAACAGGAGTTGCACCAATTTCTTTCTCTTCACCATCAAGATTAGTTACCTCAACACTTTTAGTTGCAGCCAACTCTTCCTCATTACTACTAGAAGCAGCTTTGGTTGAAGGGCGAGCATTATTTCCAGAAGTAGTAGTGTCACCAAATATGTAGCACAACTTGTCATATTCAGACATCCATGCTTTCGGAATCTAAGATGCAACTTTGAACCCTACATTCATTAATAAAATCATCGCAAGTTAAGTAAATTGAGTTTTTAATATCCATTTTAATTAGTATTATTAGTATTGAAAAGAGATTGATTCATTACCTTGATAACACTTTTCCAAGCATGTTCTTCTGCACTAACAAGACCAGTTGAGGCTTCATATCCCACTCCAGTATGACTAATCAATGACTTGAAAGCTCTGAGTCTACCCCTTAACCCATTAAACTTATTCTTAACTTGAGTCTTAGTATAGTCTCTTTTCAACTGCTCTTTCAAACCTGCAATGAGATTGGCGAATCCAGTTGGTGAAAAGGTTGAAGTAACACGATTTCCCTTTTTAACTTCTTCCACCAAAAGATAAATGAACACAGATTCAGCTTTATCACCCCATATTTTGCTATCATCCCTCTCCCCATTATCATTTTTATGAATCTCCACACAATCAACATCACCATTTTCAACAATTTTCTCCATAACTGTGGTAAAACACAAAACGAAGAACATATCAATCAATCCAGATTCACAAATAACTAATCTAGCAATCACTACATACATGCCAAATTCATAAACATATTCACAAAATTATAGATTAACATAATACTTTAAAGACCCAAGAATATACCTGCTGCGGGGAGTCAGAGTGAGGCTTCTATGGAGGGGAGTCGGAGTGGCGGTGGCGGCAGGGTCGGGCGGCGACGGCTGGACGAAAAAGACAGGTGGCGACGGCTGGGCAGGCGGAGCTTGGTCGCGCGCGGCGCTGAGGCGGAGGGTCAAGAGGGCGGAGGCGGCCGCCGACGGGAATGGAGTGGGGAGAGCAGTGCCGGTATGGCTGGGGAGTGTTGCCTCTCGTTCGAGAGAGAAAATGGAGGGGTTGGGGGCGGCTGAAAGTAAGTAGGGTTTGGGGTGGTACGTGTTAAAAAAAAAGAGAATTTTTTGCTTCTGTGGGGATTCGAAAACTTGTATGTTTTAATGAAATCAAGCGCTCAACCAGTAGGAATCCCGTGTGCAACATGTTTAAGAATCATATCCAAAGCTATAAATTGTTGTTTCTCATATTTGGACCTTGTTGTGCAACTCTGATTCACAACAAAAAAATAAAAACCCAACTAAACACGCTTTTTTTTTCTTGGTTTTCCAAATTTCTTAAAACACCACAGGAAACAAAAACAAGCAACAATACTAAACGGGCCCATAGCTTGGAAATCAATTATACGGTCGTTTGCATAAGTCAAGTAATTTATTTTTAATAAGGCAAAATACACTTTTATAGCCATAATTTTACACTTTGTGACAAATATAATTAATATTTGTAAACTACACATAAATAGCCACAAATTTGAAATTAGCTTGACAATTATAGCCATTTCTGTCAGAAAATCTAACTCCGTCAGTTACTTGTTCGCGTCGCTGAGGTGGACCCACGTCGTCGCCAACTAGCCGCCACGTCGTCGTCAACTAGACTAGACTTGCCACCACCGCGCCACGTCATTCTCAAGAGAGAGAAAAGGTTGCCTGGCAAATAAATCAACCCATCGTCTTCTCCCCCACTAAACCTAAACACTTCCATCTTCCTCCCACCGACTGCGACAGGCGAAATCCGGCCAAAATCCTTCGGCGCCGTCGACACCAGTGGTTCCCCTCGCCGACTCATCGATTGTCTCTCTCCCCCATCGTCGATTTCCCCAACTATGGTTCCCCTCGCCTCGTCGCTTCCATCTCCCTCGTCGCTGATTTCTCCAATCTCAAGTTCCCCTCATCGCTTCCATCTTTCCGACGCCGACTTCTCTTTCCCGCTCGCTGCAGCCCGTAGCTCCCAGTCGATTGATATCACAAAGGGGTGCTCGGAGTGCTCGCAAGAATGACGTTGATTCGGGTTCAGCGAGCGTCAAAAGTGGATGTTCTATCCTTTGCAAGCACAATGTCCCAACTGTGATTAATATCTCTGGGACTAAGCTAAACCAAGGAAGGCAGTTCTATGGTTGTCCTTATTGGAAGGTAAGGCAATTTAATGGAAATTTTATGATTTTGAATGTTTAATGTTTGTTGGCTGAGGAGGGATGATTGGCAGGATGGAAAAGCATGTAGATTTTTTAGGTGGGTGGACGACAATGAGCATGAATTTGAGTCAATGAACCATGAGATGGAAAGTGTTATCATGAACTTGGAAGAGAGCTTAAGGCTGGCCGAGACCTAAGCAGAGAAGAGGAAGCAAGAAAATAAGTTAATGGCCGAAGAACTAAGACATTGGATGCTAGTTCGCCAAGTTAGATTAGTTGAAGAGATCTGGGGTCATGAGTTATATGCTGACTGCTTTCTTCTTTATGAACGTGTTCTTGTTTGTAATTATGTGGAGGAAGGATTGTGGCATGTAATATTTGTGGTAAATTTGCATTTGGTGTTGAAGTCCCCTTTAATTCGTTGTTGAATTTGGCATCTAATTTTATGTTGAACCTGTATTTTGCATGTAATTTGGTGTTGAACCTGCATTTCGTATGTACTTTGGAGGAAGGATTGTGACTGTTTATTATTCAACCTGTCCAATACTTAATATTGGATGTTCAACCTGCATTACTTCTCAAAAGAGTTTGCATCACTTGACACGAGAGTTGACATTACTTAACATGCATTACTCATAGTTCTGTTCCATCCCATAACATCATACTAACATGAAATACTTGTCATTCAGCTACATTGCACCTAACAGAAAAGAGTTCACGGATAGTTAAGGCTTCTTATAGCCATTACACTACACCTAGCAGAAAATAGTTCCTAATACTTAAGGATTATATTCATCCACTACACAAGTCGACAAAAATAGCACCTAACAACCTCAATTGTAGGGCTAGTACCAAAGACGACTCATGTGCATGCCATATTGAATCTAAGGCTGAGTTGTTGGTGGCTGGCTTCCATGCCAGTCCACCACTAAAGCTTGAGTTGCACGAACTGGCAGTGGATCTCCATGAGGTCTCCCACGATCCCCATTCAACTGCAACAAAATTACAATAAACGAGTTAGTAAAGAGGCAAGGATTTTCAACAAGTCTACGGTGTTGAATGCGACAAGAGTAAACAAACTCACCCTAACATATTGGTTTCCCGTGTTCTCATCGACATAAACACTCACACCTTGAGTTGCACGGCGTAACTCCCTTTCAACCGTAACTCGATCAACAACATTCAATCTCACATCCTTGAATGAAATAGATACCACATAAAATTCACCATAGTTTTGTAGTAAAAACTTAGGTTTAGCAGAATTACATGTATCCTCAAACCACTATTCAATGGGCATGTCCTCGCATTGTATGTGGGTTGTCCACATTTGGAGCAGTGTTTGCCACATCTGGGCCTCGCATTGTTACCTTCTTCTTGGACAGCAACACGCTTTCCTCTTCGCGGAGGGTTGTTTACCTAGAAAACATTGACAATAAAAATTTACACCATCGCAATTAGAATTGGTTAACCACGTTTTCCTGAAGAATACAAAAAACGACAATATAAACATACCTTTTCTTGTCGGGCAGCAGCAAGTTGTTTGCACGATCTTGCATTGTGGCCTCTCCACAGTTGGAGCAACGAATCAAGGTCCCTCTCCTACTCACTTCTTCACCAATACCTCCTTTTTGTTGTCGGGTCTCCAACTCAGTTGCAGACTTTCTTCTATTCTTTTTTGGGTCGGCCTGACATGGGTTTAGCCTTAGGAGGTTGTATCTGATACCCGGAAGCTACTGGCCATGCTTGCCAACCATCAAGACAAGGTAGGCCAACCTTGTACGCCTAGGACACATTCATTGCATGGTAAAGTGGACGCATGAAATTCTCAGGCTCTTTCCTCAAGTGGATGATTGCATAAATTGCATGACAACATGGCAGCCCACTCAGCTGCCAGTAGCCACACGTGCATTCCTTTGTACTCAAATCCCGAATATACCCCTCACTTCACATCTATCATGCAAAGCATGTCTAGACACACACAGCCTAGCAAACTCTTTATCCTTTTCCAAACGTTTCCTAATCCTACGACATAGCATATCAGTAGTTTCTAGCAACATCTTGTGTTTAATAACCACCCTATCCATCATGTACCCCCTAATGCCTTCTAGCATGTCAAGATTCGAAATCCCATATACTTCACAATGCTCTCATTCCATGTCTTCCAAATGTTAGACTCAACCGATTCACACTTAGGAACTAAGGAGAGGAATGCTCGACAGAATTGTGTTGGTTCAGCAGCCATGAAATCAGTGTAGGGGGTAGAATCAGCTCCATTACCTTGAATTTCCTCCATTTTAGTGGTGGCTTTCTTCCAATCCACCTCATCACAAGCATACACAGCCTTCCAGAACAACTTCCTCACCCGATCAGTCTTTTTTTTTTTTTTGCTTTCCAATTAGCATATATATGTCTGGCACACTTGCGATGCACAGCTTCTGGTAAAATTTCATGTATAGCCTCGACCAAACCCTGCGGTGAACAAGTAAAATGCAATTACAATTAGTATGTAACAAGTAGATAAAGCATACTGAATTATATATTTTGGACAGCAACTACTTGTACCTTATGTTGGTCTAAAATGACTGTCCGTCCTCTTCCATCTCTCATAGATAACTCTTGAGTTATAAGGCCAACAAACCACATTCAGGAGCTGGTATTTTGTCCTTCCACTATGGCCCAGGAAATTGGAAACATTTTGTTGTTTCCATCTTTCCCAACGGCGGAAAGAAGCATACCTTGAGAAAACAACCATCCAGCCCAAAACATTGGTCGACAAGCAAGTAAGAATCCATACCTCAAGCTCGAGAAGCCGATAAACAAACGTCGAAAAAAACACTTATCACCTTCTGGATGCAGATCTACTTCCATCACAAATCGTCCACTCAGATCTCTTTTCATTAATTTAGCAACATAACTACGAGCCCCTTGTACTCGTCAATCAATGACCCACTTAACAGCTTAATAATTGCCGCTTTGGCTATGTAGCAAGTTCTCCTCTTGACATTCATGTTGTGCTTTAACTTGACCTCCGTCATAATCTGATCTAAAGCCCAAGTTGGTTAATTCTGAACCTCTCTAGCATGTCAGAAGCTATCCCATTGGGAGTTACTTGATTAACTCGGAGACTTCGTGCACAGGAATGTAGTAGCCCAACTTTCCTAATCATGAAACACTTGTCCTTCCTGAACCAGCTAACATACAGCTTCCAACCGCAGTTGGTATCTTTACACTTCACCTCCCTCCTTGTGGGATTTCTTCGAACCCATCGAAGGCATGTACCAGTTGCCACATCATGCCTAACCACAACATCTTTGAACTGCTCTGGACTAGAAAACTTCATTCTGCATACAAATTGCAGTGTCTTGTGATCACATGTGGGATCGTACTGTGGTGCATCATCATACAGATCTCCACCTTCTTCGTCTGACAAGTTCGGCCTGACGTGGTCAGATTCCTCAGATCCTCTATAACTCGAATGATGTGATCCCTCTCCGCCAGCTTGCTGAGGCTGCTGTGGAGGTGGATGTGAATTCTGGTGAGAAGTGGAGTGTTGTCATCTCGCAATACCATCGGTTGCCGCTTCTGCTTCCTCCTCTTCGTCTTCAGATTCATCTTCCTCTAACTCCTCAAACTAATCTACCTCTTCCTCATCGACAACCGCCCTTGCGTTCACCTTCCTCCTCTTTCCTTCCCCATAAGAACGTAGTTGGGCTCTAGCTTCGTAGTACTCATCATCGGAAGTCATGGCATCATCAGAGTCGTAGTTGTGGTAGATATATTGTGCAATTGATGCAACTACATCATTGTTTGTTGATAGTGATACATCTTCATTCCTAATCTGATTTGGATCATTCTCGTCCTAAGAATGGGCCATCTATTCACAAGTCCACCTTTAAGTCATTATCTACTAAACTAATATATTAAGCTTAATAGCATACCCATTAGTTACTAATAAACAAATCACACACAGTCAACCAACATGGTAATAAGGAATTGAAATTTGGTTCACTCATCTCAAAGCAACGAATTCGTCTAAGTACATTAACAGTTGTATCCTGAACTTTCAGCTTCTTATCATAAGATGTAGGGCCAATCTCGTGACAAACAGATTCATTGTGGTCCCTTCAAACCCTTGTTGTGTCGCTTTCTTCTCACCTTTACAGCTTGGTTTCACCTATAAAAGGATACCACACAGCCCTTCAATTAAGAGGTTCATCATTCCCATTCCAACAACACAAACAGAGGTGAGGAGTAACAGAGTCGAGGAGTGCTCACCAAAACACAGCGAGACAACAAGTTTGCTAGGGTTTGCCGAATTTAGGCTTCGAGCAGGAATGCTTATGGGTTTTGTCGGATTCGATGGTTCATCTCTCGCCGGGATTGATAGTGGGTTACGACTCTTTCGATTCGCGGGAGACGAGTGGGTATCAACCATCTATTCGCCCGCGGGATGCAAGGCTACCTCTGTTCGCCGATTGATTTGGTAGAGGGGAGTTGGAGGAGCGGACCACAGAGGCGAGATAGACCAGATAGAGGGAGAGTCATCGGCAATTTAGATTTGAGTGTGGTCGTCGAGGGAGAGTCGCCGGTGATTTTGCTTTGAGGTGGAAAGGATCACGAATGGAAGTGGGGTTTCTGCGAAGAGGAAGAGAGAAAATGGGGGTGGATGGATAAGAGGGAAAGAACACAACACTTTAGTAAAGTAGTTTTTTCTTCTTTTTTTTTAATTAAATTAAAATTCCACCCTGGCATGCCACGTAGACGAAGGTAGGCACGGTCACAGACGACCGTTTGTCCAGTCAACCATCGTTACAGTTCCGTTAAATTAATAGACAGAATGGTTATTTCTGTGTATTTTTCAAATTTTGACTATATTTGTCACAAAGTGTAAAGTTATGACTATGGAAGTGTATTTTGCCTTTTAATAATGCATAAGTAAAGTCATTTGAACTCCTTTGGTTGGTATGCGAGCAATTATTTGGTTTCAATGGAACTCTCAAGAGACTTTATCTAGTTATCTAATTATCCTATTTTTTCTTTATAAATACAATATTTTTCAATTAATTCCAATAATATCTTTTAATTATTTTCTAATAATACTTTCAATTATTTTTCATTAAAACAGATGTTACTATTTTAGAGAGCGGTTTCAACTATAGGTTATGTGGGCCTGCTAAATAATTTAGTTCGAAACGGTTATAATTTTTAAGGAAAATTTTCATAAAATTATAAAGTAGTATTATACTAGGTCTGTACCCAAACAATAGGTTTTATTGATTTTAAAATGATTTTATTTAGGTAGCTGATTCATTATAATATGAAACAAGATAATGAAAAATATTAAATATAAGGGTGAAATGCTAACATTACACAAATGATTCATTTAAGAATGACCCATCTACAAACTTTTAAACAAACAAAACATTTAATCATATTTAAAGTACCAAATATTTATAGTTCTCAAATGTTTATATTTAAAGAATTAACTCGTACTGAAAATACACCAAACAAACCGACTTTTAGATTTGCGCCACACTATTAAGCAAAATGGTATGTAAGCATGCAAATATGGATTAAGTAGCATTTGGATAAGGTTTAGTGTACTGATATGTTCTAGTTGTTAAATTAATAAAAAAATAAGATAATTATTCAACTGGTAATGCTTACCAAAACTATACTACGGATAGATCGTTTGACGAAAATTTGCTAGCTAAAACAGACATTTGTATTATAATGCAAAGCTGACAATTTATATTTTTTTCGATCGTGGTATAGTATAGTATCACAAATCATGAGCATGAATCTAAGTGTTAATAACGATGGATATAACTACTACATTATAGACTCGATCCCTACTGTTGGTAGTTGTTACAGAAAAGATCGATATATTATGATTTATGAGTAGCATAAGAGTGTTACAACCTACTATTTCATTAATCTAATGTTATAATATGTGCGTTCACATATTGAACACACTTAATTAAAAATATGCAAGATGATAGACTAGAGATCCTCTATTTCAAGATCTACTTTCAATCCATATATATACTACTGCATCTTTTTCTACTTAGTTACCTCGTCTTCGCTCTAAATTTCTGTTTCGCAATGAAAGTTCACCCAATTTAGTAAGTTTTTTTTATAATCCCAATTCAAAAGGTGTTGAATGTCAATATCGGAGGTAAAAACATTACTACTAGAGTTGTACTTTGTAGTAATTAAGAATTGTAAAACCGTATCGGATGTTGCATTGAAAAGGTTAGTGGTATAATATTTTATACTGAAATCATGATTTAACCGTAGTTCAACCATTTCATATATATCGTTAAAAATTGTCTACCGCTATAAACTCTAATAAGAAGTTTTCTCGTTCGGCCCGCTGATACGATAGGGTTTTTACAAATATTGTAGGGAATCTGCATATGGTATGAAATCTGGTTTTGGGGGAATATGGTACAAATTCTACATATACGGATTTTGTTGTTGATCTATATTTAATCTAGCGGGCTAACCACACACCTGTGACCTGTATACGATGGCTTATATTAATTCACATCTATCAAATTATGTCTTTGAAATGACTGATATTCGTCTAACGTAACCTTATTTCTACCGTGAAGCCAATTTTGTAACTAATTAATTATCTAAGGTGATAGAAACATAAGACAACGACTTTCAGCAACCCTGATGTTAAAAGTTTGAACCCGGGTTTGCCATGTTTAATTTTGCTATGGTGTTCTTAATTAGTCACCGGGTCGTGGGAATATTGGCCAAACATCCACATGGACATGGAGTGGTCTTTAATTAGACAACTAGAGAAGTGAATCATGTTAAAGAAGAAAGATACAACCTGGGCAATAAAGCTAAGCCTAGTGGGTGATAATTAAGAGATTACACCAACTTTTAAGGTTGAAGTCCATTTACGTCATTGGGAGGGAACTAAACAAGAATATATAAATATGGGGTATGTCGCAGTCACAAGCACTAGTGGTGGTGGTTGCTTCGGCAGAGAGATTTTTGGCATCGGTCACGTACATATATATCAATCAATCTACCTTCGTTTCTTTGTTATAATCGACCCAATGAAACTGTTTTGTGTTTATACCTTTTGGGT